GCTGATTTAGCTGTACACGTGTGTGAACGTCTGTATGCGTGCATGTATGAACGCATGTGTTTAGTTTTTGTTTGTATTTATGTTTGTATGTATGCGTGCGTGTATGTATGCATAAACTCTTGTAAGAATGCACCCAGTTTATTGTTATTCTTTATTGCTTTTGTAGAAAGCTGTCAATCAATGTTCACCGGTGGTGGTGATGATGATGATGATGAAGATGGCTGTGACGATGATGATGACGATGGTGATGATGATGATGACCATGATGACGGTTTTGGTGATGATATTATCAATGTAAAATGCGAAAATAAGGAAGCAAAAGTGATCGCTCCGGAAAAGAATTTTGGAAAATACCAACAACAACCACAACAACAACAACAAATCAACAATAACAACAACTACAAAAACATCATCAACAACATCAACAGCAACATCAAAAACATTAACAACAACAACGTCAACAACAACATCAACAACTACAACATTAACAACATTAACAACAACATCCTGATAAACAACAACGAGAAGACATTTTGATAAAGAGCAATGCCGATGCATCAACTCATTAAAGAAACATGAAAAATTAACACATGTGTTGTTGCTTGTTCGTCCGCTCGTTCGTTCGTTCGTTCGCTCGTTTGTTTGTTTGTACGCTGGTTTATTACTGCATTTTCTAATTATAAATGTTCTCTATTCTACGCGTTCCACTCGTTTATTCGCAACTTCACACTTACATTTCATGAATAAATTTGCATAAGTTAACATACATTAGCACGATTTAAATAAATAACAGAATCAACAATTACATTTCGGGGCCGGTCATTTGCATAATTTATGCATGCATCCCTTCATCGGCACGAAATTTCATTTGCTTAATTAAAAATTATAAAAGAGTGATATTTATACACAGTTTTTATCGTTCAATTAAAAACTGACATACACAGACAAACACACATAAACACACACACATACATACACTCACACACACACACACACACAAAATATATTACATCGTTAGCTCACACTTGCGCCGGCCGATTTTTGAATTCAATTTAAATTTTGTATTTTAATATGTTTTTAAACTTTTGTTTTATTGAACTTTTGGATTATTTTGCGTGTTATCATCCTGGGATTGAGTCTTTCACGTCATTTTGTCGCAGTTTGCCTTGGTTTTTTTTTTTTGTTGATTTAATTAGATTTTTCAACTTTTAATTTTTTAATTGGCATGGTTAATTCATAGCGCACAGCTGTTGCTTGTTTCGTACCTGCCTCAACTGTGCGCTGCTATATTATTATTCATAACTTACTTTTATATTTTCCATTACCTTAGAATTTTATTATAATTTCGTATTTTAAATTTTAAACGTACTTAGTTCATTTAAATTTTTGTTTGTTAAAATTACTTATCTCACCAAATCACCTGTATGGCCCGGTTTTACACCAATGCCCTGTTTGCTCCAATCACTACAAGATCACACCTGACGGGAAACTTTGCCGTCATGGTGGAAGGGTTAAAGGCCAGGAATGCTCAGATTCGAGGAAAAAGGTGGATGCACCACAGGTTGTGACCGGTCCGCCTCACGTAGCCGCATCTAGCGATGGACTCATAATGGGTGCGTCCGTATCAGTTTCGGAGATTCCTACCAGTTTGGATTACCCCCTTTTTTTTGACAGGATGACGGCTGTTTTGAAACGCGTACCACTGCATGATCACATTCCAAAACCGTGTAGAGAAAAATGTAGCAAAGCACTGCACGAGTTACTGACGGCCGTTTGTTGTGACTCCGGTGATCCCGCTCACTGGTGCAGACTTTTTTTCTTTTTCCATACGTCCTTCAAAAACCTGCCAGAGGGGGACGCCGGGTCAACCAAGGCAACCAGATTAACAAGCGCCTGTCCGAATACTCCACGATTGAGATTACGTCCCTGCTCTCGGGTTTTGAAAACCACATCAACGCAAATCCACGCGGCCACAATCCTGACCGGTGGATAAATGCGGTGTCTTCTTGCATAGAGCAGGGAAACGTTTCAGCAGCCGTCAGACTTGTCTGCTCGCCCGAGGGCCTGGCAGGAAACACGCCTGAAACCTTAGAAAAACTACGGTTCATACATCCAAAAACACCAACCGACAGGCGTGCTTTTCCTGCGCAGGAACCAACAAGTGGTTGCGTTTCTTCCACCCAGGTGCTCAAGGCCATAAAGTCTTTTGGAAATGGCTCATCCGGGGTCTCGACGGATTGCGTCCTCAGCATCTCAAAGACCTACTTTCCGGCCCTCTGCCAATTGACGACCTATTAAATTCCCTAACGAATTTTATAAATTTGGTTCTGTCGGGCGCCTGTCCACCCACGGTTTGCCGTTTTTTTTTTGGAGGCCGCCTGATCGCCTTGAACAAAAAAGATGGAGGAGTTAGGCCAATCGCTGTTGGTAACTGTTGGCGTAGATTGGCGAGCAAATGTGCTTTGAACCTGGTAATGGATGAAATGAGAGCCAAATTTTACCCGGTTCAATTGGGCATTGGCGTGAAAGGAGGTGCTGAGGCCGCCGTTCACGCCGTTCGAAAATTGGTCACAGACCTCCCCAATCAATGGGGATTTCTAAAAATTGATTTTAAAAATGCCTTCAACGCCATGAGAAGAGATTCAATGCTGGAGGCCGTCAAATGTTTCTGCCCTAGAATATATAATTTCTGCCATTCTGCTTACGGCCTCGCTTCTTCGCTTGGCTATTACACCTGGGTGGTTGAATCGTCCGAGGGCGTGCAACAGGGTGATCCACTGGGACCTCTTCTATTTGCATTGACCCTGCATCCCTTGTTGGAAAAACTGTCGTCCGTTTTCATTTGTGGCTACTTGGACGACATTAGCATTGCTTCAAAAAGCCAAACACTGGCCGAAAACTACAAATTTTTGAAAAACGAAGCCAACACCATTGGGCTAGAGTTAAACACCAACAAATGTTAACTCTATTTTAAAGATTCACTACATTTGCCACCGGTGTTGGCGGACGTACCTATTGTTCAAAAATCAAATTTAAGTCTTTTGGGCACACCCTTGTTCGAGGGCGACTCCCAAATTAAATTTTTTGATAAAAAGTTTTCAGAACTTAAGTTCGCCCTCGACCGAGTGTCTCATCTTTCCGTCCACGACGTCCTGACTATTGTCCGAAGCGCCCTCAGTTTGCCCAAAATGATGTATTTTCTTCGTACATCCAGCTACATTAACCCATCGTTGTTGGGCAGATTTGATGATGTTTTGCGTACTGCCTTGTCAGCCATTTGCAATGTTCATTTGACTGACAGTGGCTGGTCCCAGGCTCAGCTGCCGGTGCGGTATGGTGGTCTGGGGTTACTCAGTGTGGTTCAGTTGGCACCAATCGTCTATAAATCTTCTGCCGCTGCCATTCTTGACCTCCAGTCCGCCTTGCTTTGCCGATTTTGTTGTTACTGTGACATCCCACCACTGCCGACCACACCTGAAAGCCCTTCACAAGCTCAAATTTTAGATGAGCAATATAAGAAGACTTTTCATGAACTTCTGTTTTCTGGTGTCGGTGCTTCTTCCTCCGCCCGCTTATTGGCTGCAACTAGTGATATTAGTTGTGGTTGGTTGAGGTCGTGGCCTAACACTTCCGTAGGCACCAGACTCGATGACGAGTCTGTTAGATTTGCCGTTGGTTTCAGACTTGGCCTAAGTATACAAAATAAATATCTGTGTCGTTGCGGCGCGGAGGCGAACGAATTTGGTCATCATGGTTTGGTTTGCCGTTTAGGTGGAGGCCGTCAACTTCGTCATTCAGCTTTGAATGATTACATTTGCCGGCTTTTTTCTAAAGCTTCTATTCCTGTTTTGAAGGAACCATCTGGCATTTCAGTGCAAGATGGCAAGCGACCAGATGGTTGTACTCTTACTCCCTGGAGAGCTGGTAAATGTTTGGCTTGGGACGTTACGGTTCCTGGTACCTTGGCCGAGCGCTACGTTCACCTTACCAGCAAAGAATGTGGTTTGGCTGCAATCAGGGCATCGGACGAAAAAATCAAAAAATATGAACACGCCCTGTCTTCCTTAGATTTTTTGCCAATATGTATCGAGGTCCTTGGACCCATGGACCCCAATACTTCAAAATTTATTAAAACATTGTGTAAAATGATTGGTGTTCGGTCAGGTGACAACAGAGAGTTCTTTTTTGCAATAAACCACATCTCGTGTTTGTTGCAGCGATTTCTGCGTGTTTGTGTGTCGGAAAATATTAATTTAAACGCCAACGTGTGAGACTAACGATACATTAAAGTGTTAACCCTTTTAATCAGATGTTTGACTGTTTGGTGTCATTCATCACGATTTGGTTTTAACACACACACAAATAAGCACACACACACATATATATAAACACACACACACACATACATAAACACACGAATAAACATACACAACTGTATAATACATTAACATAAGTATATATAAATATATTTTGGTAACAGACTATTGTTAACGCAACATTTCAAAAATTCAACACTACTTTCAACATTGTTCAACTTTTTCATATTTCTTTTTAATTTATTAATTTCCGAGAAATTAGACATTTTATTGTTTTTTTAAAAAATTTTTATTAAATAAATTTGCAAATAGCTATTTCGAGTTATAAATAACTCATCTTCAGTGCATTATATATAAGGTATGTAAGATATTTGATATAAAGGAACAAGTAATTATTAATTTATATAAATTATTTAATTAAAACAGAAAACCAATAAAGTAAATTTAATAACTATAAACAATATAAAACGCGATTTTTAAAATTTTTTAAAATTTTTAACGGCAAGATTGTTTATATTATGGTTGTTAAGGTAAATATCAACGCTCAGCCGAGAAGCGCGAATTAATTTATTTAATTAACTACATATTATTAATATTATTTTGACAATATTTAAAAACATTATTATTATTATTATTGTTAACGTTATTATTATTATTATTATCATCGCTGTGGTCTTCTGCTCT